AAAATAAAATAAAAAATAAAATAAAATAAAATAAAAAGGAAAATATTCTGATGGCAAAGAGCATAAGATGAGAAGCTTACAGTCCATTCAGAGAACGTCAATCAATACCAAAATTAGATACGAGTGTCAAAAAGGCCACACACACCCCCCCCACACACACACACACCCCTCTATAACAGCAAGTACAACTGACAGCTGGGGGTTGAGCTGTGCAAACTGGTATGGCCCTGTGGAAGCAGTGTGGCAGTTCCTTAATGCCCTGAATATATATATATATATATATTTTTTTTTCACTTGCTGTGTGACCCAGAAAAGCTATTAGGGAGCAATCAAGATTTCATGTTCAAAAAATCCACATGCTCCAAAACACTTGTGAATGCTTGTACAACTCGACTTGCAATACTGACAGTCTGGAGGCAAGCCACCTGTGCCCCAACAGGACAGCGAGTTGACACGCTGCACAACAGTATAAGCTCTGGGTGCAGCAGGGACACCATTCTGCAAAACCTAGGAACAGAATAGGTAGAAGTGCAGGGACAAGCAGCCACACCACCGAAGTGCTCAGTGTACAAGAGACCTTTCCAAGAGGCCACACACATAATGACCCCATCAGTATGCCATGCTGGAAAAGCCAAGCCACAGGTAAGGAAAAGGGAGCAGCAGGTGGCATGGATTGGGGGTGGKGGGCAGGGTAGGTTTGACTACAACCCAGAGGAACTAGGGAATCATCCTGTATTCTGTTCGTGGCAGCGTTACGCAGATCTATATACATGTTGAAACTCAAAGAAGTCTATCAAAAGAGTAGATCTTACTTTATGTCAATTTTTAAAAATTTTTAAATGATATTTAATAAGATAAAAATAAAATGGGCAATACAGTAATTATTTATCATCATATACACCAGTTGAAATTTTTTGTTTTATTTATTTATTTATATAGGACAATGGAATGCATTACAATTCTTATTACACATATAGAGCACAATTTTTCATAGYTCCGGTTATATACACAGTATATTCACACCAATTCATGTCTGTACTTTGGATAATCATGATTCCTCCCATGCTCCCTCTCCCTACCCTACTATGAATCAGCTCCTTATTATCAAAAAGAACATTCAGCATTTGKTTTTTTGGGATTGGCTAACTTCACTTAGCATTATCTTCTCTAACCCCATCCATTTATCTGCAAATGCCATGATTTTATTCTCTTTTATTGCTGAGTAATATTCCATTGTGTGTATATGCTACATTTTTTTTATCCATTCATCTAATGAAGGGCATCTATTTGGTTCCACAGTTTAGCTATTGTGAATTGTGCTGCTATAAACATTGATGTGGCTGTGTCCCTGCAGTATGCTGTTTTTAAGTCCTTTGGGTATAGATGGAGGAGAGGGATAGCTGGGTCAAATGGTGGTTCCATTCCCARTTTTCCAAGAAATCTCCATACTGCTTTCCATATTGGCTGCACCAATTTGCAATCCCACCAGCAGTGTATGAGTGTGCCTTTTCCCCCACATCCTCACCAACACTTACTGTTGTTTGTATGCATAATAGCTGCC